TCAGATTATTAATTATCAGATTTACTAGTGATTGATTGATTCTATATAGTCTATATGACTGATTTGAGCGCTCTGGTATGGGGAGTTCTGGGGGTAACCCATATTTGCCAAGACCTGTTAAATCAGGTGGCTGGGACTCTGGCACCTGGCCCACATCTGGCCAGAATGCCACCCTAGAATCTAACACAAAGCAATGGGAGAAGGTGCCCTTTTCGAGCGAGCCGGATAAATCGACTGTGTGCCCTGATAATTCGGCGGTGTGGCTCAAGCCAAGAAGCCAAGACCCCAGGCTTGGCATCAACTTCGCGCATTACCAAATCCTCACCAAAAGTCATCATTTCGAACCACTGCACGGCAAAGAGAGCTCAAAACGACCTTTTTCGAGGCGCTCAATTGACATCTGACTTGATATGCCCCTGGATAAGGGCATTGCCATGGGCGCGCGGTACTGGTATCGGCGGTATCATGGTAGCGGTTGTTGAGTTTGGAGCTCCCGTTGTTGTGCTTCCAGCTGTGCTTCTAGTTGTGCCTCCCTTTGGCCTGACTTTGAGCTCTTGGAGTTGGACTTCTCAACGAACCACCTCCTAGCTCGTGTGCTTTGCTTCCGCCATTGCCTCCTCCTCCCTCTGGCCTTCCAGCATTGTTGCGGTTGTCTTTTTCTTGAGCGCATCGTGAGAAGGATCACAGCGAACGTTGGTGGTTGAGCCGAAGGGAAATTCATGACACCTCATTGGTCAGATGGGTTCCACACCGCCGAAATATCTGGGCACACAGTCGATTTATCCGGCTCGTTTTCGAGCAGCAGAGAACACACGATAGAAAAAGAAGTGGGTATTGATTACATGCTCGAGTGCAACTAAGCGGACCCCTGCACCCGCGGAATTAACATGGAAATAGCGTCGAAAATTCAAGCTTATTTTGCTCGGAATCAATGCACACGTAGACCCATTTCAATATGCACGTAGACCCACTTTTATAACTGAATAAACCCAGCTAGCCCAGCCCAGCCCAGCCCAACCACGCTAATACATCACACCATACACATCGCTACCTAACCGCTATGCCGCCGTCACACTATCTATTAATAATAATTAATATTATACAATTAAATAAAACCATCACAAGACCTTACTTTAATATTAAGCAACCGTTTATAGCCATTATTTATCGTCTTTATTATTATTTTATTATATATCCTCGACCTCGTAATATTCGCGTTTATTAATATACTTCGCCCGCCCGCCCGCCTAAGCCGCGTATTAAATAAATTAAACTATTAGCACAACTGACTAAAATGACCAATTCTAACCGTAATTGAACAAATTTGTCCACTAAAATAATTCCCAACCAATTTCGAACAATTATTCCTAGATAAAGTACAACTCCCCTCGTCGAATTTTAATTACTATTAATCCGCCGCAGTCGATACGAATAATCGAAATTAAGAACGCAGTTACCGTCCCCCAACGAACGCGCTCCCCAACTAGCGAAACTACAACTACTATTTACGTCCTCCAAGTACAATAATAAGGTCGCTACCTTTAACGCACTATAAAATTACGCTATATAATAAAGTTTTACCGTAATTTCGTATAGCTAAATAAAAAATAAAAAAAGGAGGAAGGAAGGACTTATTATACAGGTCGATTATTACTATATATACGGCAGTACTCACAAATCTTCTAAATATAATATTCGAAACATAGCTTCGAAGTGGCTAAGTTATCTATACTAAATAAAAGTTGTATTAAGGAAGAAGTAAAATAACTAATAACTCACTAAAGAAATTAAGAACTTTTATAACTATAATATCGATATTACTAACTTCGTCGGTAAGGTTATCTACTAATAATAAATTCGTCGTAACTACAAGGAAATTACTAATATTATTATCGAAAGGTCATTTAATATAATTAGAATAAACGTATATTAAATTACTCATTATTTAAATAATACTCTCAAAGATAATAAATATATTATCCCTTCTCATAAGATCGCTAATAACTAACTAATAATAAAACTACATAGTCTTTGAATCCTTATTACTCCCTAAAAAATATTAAATATTCAATAATATATTCACTGGGCAAAGTATAGTACCTATACTTTAATAAAGATATTTATCAACTTATTAGAGCAATATAAGAACGTATATAATATCGAATATTTCGTTAATTATAATCTTCTATTCCTTAACGAATAAAAGATTATACGGATATTTTAAATTTTCGATTAATATATTAAAATATTTAAAAACAATCCCTATATATTACTAGGAAATAATACGTACAAAGTAAATATTACCTTTATTATTATTATTCTCCTTCTTAATTCTAATTATTCGAATTTAGGGGTTTCTAATACCTACATTTAAGGTCTTTTACTTAATTGAACTAACCACTTTTTTTTCCTTACAAATTAACTACTTCAACCTCCCCCTCCTTAACGTTATTAATCTTAATACCTTAAATTATAACTTTAATATAGCCTTCAATCTCTCGAATACGGAAAGCTAAAAAAAACTTCGTATAATAATTCAACTACCTTAAGAAACTTTAAAAGAATTATAATATTATTAACTTATTAATACTTATTACCGACTTTAATAAAGGGTTTAAAAAGGCCGCTATCGCTACCTACCTAAACGTCCTATATTAATTATATATCTAATACATTATAAAAAATATAAATTATTATATTAAAAAAAATTAGGTTCAACTAAATAATATTAAACTAATCCCGGGCGCTAATATACTAAATCTCCCGCCAACTACTCGGAACTTAAATAGTAGCGGCCTTAATCCTCTATTATATAGAGGTCCAACGGCCGCGGTTAATAACGATGAACCTAATAAACATATTAATAACGACCTAAAAAAGGACAACCTAGAGGAAATTAACGACGCCACTACTGCTACCAACCTTACCCAATAACCTAACGATAAACAAAGAGTTCGTAAAGTAATTAATAAACTGGTAATTAAAGCTATCGCTCTATAAAATTATAAAATACCTATTTTTAACCCCGTTCGTTAATTTTATTAAAATTTATATAAAGGGTTCTAAAAGGCCTAGTGGCAAATAATATATACTAACGACGAAGATTATTTCAAAAGGCTATAGCTATTACTATACTATAAATTCAAATGGCAAATATATAAATCTTTATAATAAATTATATATATTCTTCGCTAATAACCTCTAATTCTACTAACTTACTTTTATAAATATTACCTTCTATAAATGGACGAATTTAATAATCATACAATATCGAAGCTCAAGAATTATAATATTAAAGCAACTAATGGAATCGAGTTTACATATAGAGCTATCAAATGCCTCCTTAAGAATCGTCTCTCCTCTTTAAACTAATTATACGAATATATACATTCTACTTACTACTTTTAAAGAGAAATATTCAATTTACAATAGACTATAGCGAGGCAAATGTACTTATATAAATATAAAAAGGTAAAAATATTTAATAATCTAATATTAAAAGTACATAAAAATATAATCTTTTATCATTACCCTTATAAATATAATTATTCTCTTTTGCCCTCTTTTACCATCTAAAAATCTAATTAATTAACTTCCTTTTTTTTTTAAATATAAGTAGCGCTATATACCCTCAAACTTATATAATACCAATACTATTATACTTATAACAATTAATTAAAAAACCCTCATTAAAACCCAAACGCAACGCATAAAAAGGCATTTATAACTTAATATAATTTATCCTATAAATATTTTATATTAAAACTATTATAAATACGTCCCCCGTTAATACTAACTATAGAGGATATATTTACGTACTAATAATTAAAGGTAAATAGGGGTACAAATTTAACCGAAGCTAAACGCTAAATTTACGCGATTTAAAACCCTACTACTTTACCTAGCCGCCGGAAGCAAGCAGTTATCTCCGACCCAGACCTTATAAATTATATACGTAAAATATCGGGACGAAACCTTATAAACCCGGAAATTCACAAACTATATAATTTAAAAGGTAATTATACCCTACCCCAACCTACCTAACCTATTAACCGCAACCGGTATAATAACCACTATATCCTCTCTTATAATAAGGAACCCCGCTAAGCAATACAACGAAATACTTAAAGAAAAGGGAGGAAAGGAAACATACAAAAAAGGGGTACATAGAAAGCGTCTCGTACCTACAACATTATTTAATAAAATTTATAACGAGCCGTTATTAAAATAATTAATAATATAACTAATAATATAATTAAAATTATTATAGTACGGTTAATTCCAATACCAACGCCTTCTCCAATACCGCAATCGATTCCAATTCCTTTACCCTCGCCTTTTTATCTCCTAATTCCCTCTCGACGGCTAACGCCCTCCCTATTTCCCTATCCCTAAATTTAATAATAACTACTAAATAATTAATTCTAACATTTACCAACTCTTATCAACTCTAACTAATTTAATTATAGAATACCAACGCCTATTAAATAACTGTTTAAATCTCCTATTCTTAATCTAAATAATCATTAAAATTTATATAGGGATTAAGTACAAATACGACTAAATTAAATAGTTATATACCTACCCGGTTAAAAATAAAGGAAGCTCTTACAACTCGCACTATAAATTATTATACTAAACTAATTAATTCTATTATTCTTTAGGCGCCTCCTAAAGACCCAATTAGAAACTTCGCTCCTCCTCTCTCTAATCAACTACAATATAATTTACAAAACTATATTATACTAATAATATAATATAACCAAACCCCTATAACTATAACACCACTTCCAATACCTATACAGAGCGAAAGATAGGTTATTAAGAGACTTAAGCAAGAAAGCAAATCTCTAACTACTTCAACACTCTAAGCAGCACTTATACAGCGGGCATCAAAATCAAAGTAGGTACGTACACTCTAGATAGTAAATGCAGTATATATAGCTATAATAAGGCTAATATAGAGGATAGTAATATTACTAGCAACCGCAATATCAACACTCTCAACAATAAACAATTAACTAAATTAATAACTCTAAATACTTTCATATAAAAAGAATACGTAAAAGACGTAAATCTAATAATGCGCAGGTCTTAATTTGGTAGCCTCATTTACTGGCGCGGCTGGGCGGCTAGGCTAGGCTTACTCAGCGATAAAATGTGGGGGGGTCTACGTACGCATTAGTTTAGGTCTACGTATACATTTATTTCGTATTTTGCTGCGACGCTTGCAACGCTTGCAACGCTTGCAACGCCTGGGATAGCTCGGACCGAGACTAGGCATTTCTTGGCTGGTGTTTAGAGTGCTCCATCTTCGCTCCATCTGGTGTCCATCCCGTCGAATCCGATCTAGGGGGGTCCCCGGCCAAGGGGTCGAGACAGGCTTGGCGCCGCTCCGGAATAAGCTCGGTTTCGCGATTTCCCTTTGCTGTTTTTTTGATGAGTGCGTCCGTCTCGTCCAGTGGTGGTGGTGGTGACCGTGGAGGCCCCCTTTTTTCTTGTCATCATCACGTAATCTGCCACTTGCTGTGGTGTAGCGAGCAATGCAGATTCCCGGCCAATTTCTTGGGAACTGACCCTTTTTCTTCGGCCGTGTGTTTGGAAGTTGGAGACGACGGCAAGTGGAATGTCGGGAACCGATGAAGCGAGAGTGATACGGAGGTACCCGTGGAATACCCGTGGAATACGTGCGGAATATTCGGGGATTGATGAATCCACTGATGAGAAGAAAAAGAGAAGACCAGGGCAGGACCATGTTGCACGTCCGTGTTTGAGAGAAATACAATTGTCGGATACTCGTCCTCGTACACCGTCCCGACCGCGTGGTCTCCACTGGAAATTAGTGTTTGGAAAAATCGTCGGTGGATTTCACTTTGTGTCTCGCACGACTTGTTTTGTCATCTGTTGATCCGCGTGCCCCGGCCTTGTGTTGTGTTATTGATGATGGGAGTACCTATGGGAGTAGGTACCTGTAGAGGTTGCAGTCAGTGGAAATCACAAGTGCTGAATTTAACGTTAACTTTGTGGAGTCGCGCTTTCCATTGTGACAAGACTGCATGTAGAAAAGCTTGGCGGTCTTGGACGGAACTTGGCGGCAGTTGGAGGGACTCCGTCCAGGGCTCAAGGCTGTCATGAGAGCAACAGAAAAAAAGCTTTTCGACTCCGCTTCCCCAAGAATTCCCACTCTGTGCCTCCAGCTCGGCCGATTCAGCCCTTGAACAACGCGAAACTTTCTCAACGTGTTCTTTGCGATAGCCCGAGCCGCAAGGCCGAGAAAAATGTCCACTTGTCCTTGTCATTCAGGTACACACAAGTTCACAACTGGAAGGTGACGACCACCGATTCGGAGGTACCAAGTTACGTCCATGTGATTTGTTACTTCATTACCGTACCATACGATACAGACCTTACCAAGAATCGGCCAAGAAGAGGAGTCTGGTTAAGCATGATTTTAAGCGTCAATGTCACCATCTTCATTGGCCATCCAGCCCGTACTAGCAAGTCAGGTACCCACGGATCCGAGCGCCCGAGTGTCCCGATTGCGGCCTCTGTCTGTAGTGACGGCATGACGGCATCTCTGTCGCTCATTTGAAAGACGGCGACTTCGGGGCTTCCACTTCACAATCAAGCCATCTGACGGCGGCAACACCAAGACGCAGCATCGCGCTCATTGTACCACACACTAATCTCACAGCAAACATCGGCCATCATTGCACCGCATCATGCTCTGACATGACAGCAGTCTACCGAGGTCATACCGGTTACACGGAATTTCCAACGACATCAACACCAAACCTTTTTTATAATAACAATGGCCACCACGGCTGACTCGGCACGGCACTTGCACTTTTGAACCTGTCTAGACGAGTCTGCATGGTTCTTTCAAGGAGTTGAGTGATGACCTCAGCTTCAGTGATTGGAGCTATCCGTCACACTGGAACCCAATGGCTTCATTTCGTTCCCCATGTGGGAGGGGGGGCATGCTACAATACCAACATGATCACCTAGCTACCTGTCACGGAGCACACTGGCACCTTTCTGTGTGCCTGTACACACCTCCATCACCTGGGTCCAGTGGTCAGCTAGCTATTCCAGAAAGGTCACCTACTCGCAGCGATACACATTAACACAGTCACCTCGTGCGGACTTTGCCAGAAAGCGGCGGCTCAGATGTAAGACCAGACAAGCCCGGTCACAGTCGTCTGAATAAGGTTAACAAAGACGCGATAATGCGGCGCACCACCCGGTTCACCCCCCCTTTGTTCCCTCTGACTTGCAGGCTCGGACTCTTGAGTACGAAAATGACCAATCGAAAGCGAGCCGTGGCGTCGATTCACTCGAACATGACACTTTTCAGCCAGAACATCGCTTCACGCTCCGTGGTTGGGTGGCTTCCCATGTAATACGGTATCATGGTCTTCCTTTCTCCCCAATGGACACCCTTTTGACCAGATCTCATCATCTCACTCTGTCGGGGGTCTTGTGTCGTACGAAATAGGCGATCAGGCGGCTATCCTGTTTCGCGATACAACCGCATCAATCACTTTTGCAGCCTCGAAGCCACCCTGAGCTTATTCCATCATTATCAGTGTTTGATTGCCCGGCACTTGTTGGATGGTTACACGAGGGCAGTCAGTGAGTCTTATCTCATTGAATTCCCAACCTACAGAGAGGGGGGCCTTGATAAGCTCCTTCTCTCTTCCAAGAGAAGTTCGGACACACAAGCAAGAAGACTCACAATATCTGACACACCACCCCCATACACAATACACAAAGAGTAGTGTTCTTCCATTTCCAATTCTCAGACACATCGGATGTCGCCCTTTCGGGCGTAACATGTTCCATTTTTTTTCTAGTGCAGGTTTGCTCGTCGGACATCACACCTTGCGATACATTGAAGGACCGACCTCCTCTCCTCTCCTGTCTCACAGTTGTGTACTTGGCCGTTGAACAAGTCTATGTAACAAGCCTTCATTAACAAGCCGTCGGATACCGACCTTGTGGGCACCTTGTGGGCAGGAAGGGGGGGTGAAACGGAATGGATTTCAAAATCTGGAACGGTCTGACCAACTAACTGCCTTCGGTAGTAGAGTATTACACAGACTGAGTGACAGAAGTTGGGAGAAGCGAGCGGTCGCCACCACATCGCACAATTGATGACGCCGTAACTTATAGGTATTTATGTATGTACCGTCCTGTCAGACTCAGCTGTGTGCTAATACCTAGGTACACATACTTACCGCCGCGAAAGCAGGCGTAATGGCTGCTCTCGCACGATCCGATCTTTCCGAGGTTTTGTTGTGGATTTGGAAAGATTCATCGTCCACAATTCCGAGTCAGAACCGAGAGAGAGGGAGCTTCGCAAGGAATCCATCTTTGGGATAAGTAGTATAGCTGTATAGAAAAGACGCGTCAGCGTTTATTAGTACCCGGTGGTTACATTAACTGTACCGATTTGGCATGAATACATAGATTCCTTGGAGCTGTTTAGGTTTCAGTTTATGGCGGTGCCCTTAGTGCGTGCCGCCTAAGACCAGGAGGTCGAAATAAGCTCAAGCGTGCGTGCCGATTTTCGGATTTGGATTAGCGTTTGGTATTTTCGTTTTTTTTTTTTTTTTTTTTTGGTCTTTGGTATCGTTACGTAACCTTTCTGTGTTCGATTCTTGGGCGGGGATCAGGGGCGACCCTGGGGACCATGGGGGGAGTGTTTGTGACGTTGCCGATCCGGCGCCGTCGGTTTTGTTATGGACGTACGTACCATACATTGGGTTTATAGGTTCATTATTGAACTTTTCGAAGCTTCCTGCGTAGGCTTCCCTATAATATTATGTGAGGAGTTGCCATTAGAGGTAGGAAGAAATCAAAATAAAAAAGCAGCATGAATAACATAAACAAGAGCCTTTGTCACTCTGTATACATATAGTACCCGAGCGACCAAGGTAAAGGCAAAGCAGACATAAGTTTGACAGCTCCCAGCATTGCTGCAAGAGTTGGCATGGCAGGGCGGTCGGGATTCTGCCATGTGCTCGATGTGCCTGAAAGAAGTGTCAATTCAAAGAAACATTGTACATGGCAGCTGCAGTTTGCATTTTGCATTTTGCAGGCTGCTTGCTGGTGGAAGCAAGAAGCGGGCAGGAGTGGAAGTTTGCATTGGAGCTTCTACCTTTTTTTTTTTTTTTTTTCCTTTTTATCGATGCACTTTTGCGCCTCTTTTGAAGCCGGCAAGCTAGCTTCCATCTCGTTGCAAAGTTGCAGCCACTTTTCTAGTCTCTGTTGCCGGCCCAATTCGGTACGAAGACATAGTATGTAGCCATGAAACCAGCGATTCCAAGACCGATCTCGCTCATTTGGCGTCTAACCACCCACCAACGTTTATCTCAGCAGCGGCCGCTTGGGCAAACTTGGCGCGAATAGGTGAACAACTGGGTTGGACATCGTCCGAAGTTCCCTTCTCTTCAATTTCCGGGAATACCACGGACAGACTACACTCGAAGAAGTACGTACCGATGTGTGATCAAGACGGATCAAGTTCGCCTCGCCAGCTCTCTTGAATATTTTGCGCACCGGAGCTGCTTTCTAGAACCGGCAACTTGTTGTGAAGCGTTGGTGGCAGTGCTATTAGAGTTAGGTCATAACTCCCCTTCTTCCAAGGGGCTTCCCTCCCAATTGGGATGCTTAGAGATTTATTACGTGTACCTTGTCATGTACCTTGTGAAGGTGTACGTAATTATTACCGGCTTGTTCTTGCGCTCTGACACTATCACCGAGGTATAGGAGGTGCTAACGAGGACCGGAGCGAGGTTAATGAAAGTTGGTGCCGTTCGTCCCGCTCGCTTTGCGATGCATGCAATGAGAAATTTCCCGAATGGACGACAAACGAATGAACGAACGAAAATGTGAGGATCTTACGGAACATATCGATTACCGATGGTAAGATAGAACGGGACGGGAATAACGTTCAATCATTGTTTACGGGGGAAATGATGCTGATGAGAGACATCGGCAACAGATGGGATACTACTGCACCGTGGTATACATATGTGCCGCTGGCAGTATCGCCGAACAAGACAAGCCTCTTGGTTAAGATTAGTACTGTACGTATGTTTGGTTTCTTACACATGCCTGCACGTATTTTCTCGAATTCCTCCGTCGACTGCGTGGGGCGGTAAGGTATGTACCGTCTATACGGCAGGACGTGTAAATAAGGTTGTGTGTGGGCGCGCGTTCGCTCCGCGCGGGCATTGTCCGCCTGGCATGCCGCGCACGCAGGGCAAGCGAAGCGAGGCCATGCCATGCCATGCTATGGGATGGAAGGAAGGAAGGAATGTGGAGTTTTTATCCCTTCCTTCTATCCATCGATTCTGTTGATACGTGAAGCATCCCTCGCTAGACATAAGTAAGGATAATGTTTTATTTCCTATTGAAAGCTCGCTTTCTTCACGTGCAGTCAGAAAACAAGCGCAACGTCCGGTGTTGTGTCATGGCTCATGGGGTTGACTTCCACTTGACTTCCATTATTTAGGTATTGCCATTGCCTCGGCTTATTGTACTGAAAGTGGAAATTTCAAGGGCGTGTTCCAAATTTTCCAACGTTGATCCAGTCTGTTGATCCGTGTACAAAGCCAAATATGCAGTCTTTAACAGGGGGCTCTTGTACTCTTGCCAAGGCCTTGGCGCTACAGGGGGTGGAACTTTTCTTTCGTGAGCTTCGCCAAAGGGTTCATTTGGGAACCACCACAACGAGCTCAATTTTAAAGCCATTCACAAATGGAAATAACCATCTGGTTTTTGGGAAGCCGTTCTATAAGATGAGATAATGTGTACTGTCGTTGAACGATTCATTGAAAAACCCGACCTACGGTAGTGCTACGGTAGTGTACGCAGTATCACTTTGTAGAGCGGCTTCCCAGCAACCTGACGGTTATTTCCATTTGTGAATGGCTTCAAAATTGAGCTCGTTGTGGTGGTTCCCAAATGAACCCTTTAGTCAGATCAACCAAAATCCTCAGAAAAAAGCCGAGATTCTCAGCTTTTTTGGATCAACGGGCCTTGGCACTTTTCGTTCCCTTTTAGGAAGTTGCAAGGCCTCATGCAGGCTGAAAAGCCACGTACAAGGGGGCCTGTCTAGCGTGGTATCTGCCAAGCTCCTGAACGTCTTCTTTGAGCAATATGCAGTGTGATCAACTGCATATTTACTGCATATCAACCGCAGGGATTAATTTGTATGGGAATCCGATCAACGTTGGGAAATTTGGAACGCGCCCCAAAGGTATTTCCACACCGAAATGGGAACAACGCGGTCCAACGGCTGAGCAAACGACGAACGTCCCATCATTTCGGTCTTGATCGGTCGGCGGCGGAGGGTTGGTGGGCGGGCGGCGTCAGCACGGCCCCACCCCACCTCCACGTCTCCGTCGGTCTAGGTATGATCGTACGGAGAACGTATCGAAATGAAACAAACAAACATACACCGGAGACATATGTATAAAGTCGGGCTTTATATGTCTATCCCTTCGATATCGGAGGACCCTGGCTGAGGCCGACGAGAAATGTTCATTGTCTTATCATCGCAAACCAAGGTTCAAGAAGCCAAGCATGAAGCCATGGAACGATGACGAAGCCTCGTCGTTCGTACTCGTTCATGCCAATCCGTTCGTTCGCTCTGTGTTCTTGCCATGTCAGCCAAGAACGCTCATCACCACTATTGCATTGTGTTATCTGCTGAGTGGCTTGTCATGCGAACCATATAGCTCCATGACTCGTTGCCACAAGTGCAGGCTTACGGGCTTCGATCCCAAGAACCAACCGTTCAGCTGCTGTTCCAACCAACCAACCAACCAACCAACCGTGAGAATATTGATAAATGAGCCTCAATAGAGGGAGTCGACGAGTCATCATCGAACCCGAGTCCGAGCGGAAACTCGGAACACACCAACCCACCAAGAAGCAACTGAACGCCCGCTGACTAAACCCTTTTGAAGCCATCTTGGGCTTGTCCTCACTAGCAAGGGTGTGGCATAAACTTTATGTAAACCTAATCGAAGCCCCGGCCAATCCATCGTCGGTCCATCATCCCGTATCGGGCAACTTGATAAAGCTTTCACCGTTCCCGCTAGGGTGGTATGTAATAACCGACGACGATACTACAAGTACCTTATACGTGCACCCCTCAGTCAGGATCGCTGATGAGCGATGGCTGATGCTAAGCATTTTTGAAAAAGAATGAGAAACGAAACAATACCAGACGCCAACAACATTGGCATTTCTTGGGCTCCCTTGGCGGGGAGATGATCCCCACGCCGCTGCGCCGAGCCCGTCCGTCCGCTCGTAGCTCGCTCGTTACGTATGTAGCTGAAGACTCGCTTGTGTCTTTAGGTTGATGATATTTTGGACTAGGCAGAGGCATCGACAACGCTCTCAGCCTCGTGCAGACGTTGGAATACCTACCTAATGACGGGAGCCCTGGAAATATTCGTAATGAAAGGAGCTCTGACAACGATACCTACCGGTGAGTTAGTGTACGCAGTAAATAGTTGCAACTGATGCGATTGGAAAGGAGCTTCCCACCTGTCAAGGCCGCCGATCAGCATCCCGTCCCATGCCCATGTTGTCCCACCGACACTATCGATCGCAGGAAGCGAAGGAAGGTTGTCAAAGTAAGGTTAAATTGTTACCGCGCACATCCGAGTTCCCGCTTCCAGTCCTTCGCTGCCCAGCAGACCCAGTCAGGGCATCGAGTTGCCCGTTTTGTGGTTCTCCCGATAATATCCGCGGCGAGCTATGCCGCAAGGGGAAGGAGAATCTCACCGTCCGCAGCCAGCTTAGCAATCAACTGCTCCTGCACTAATAAAAATGGGTATGCATCGAGATGGTGCCCGCCTTTTCAAATGGAGTTTCATTAGGCCCGCCGAAAGAACAATCTTTCACGGTCAGCTGCCTTCGAGATTTCTTCACCGGCGCGAGACCGCCTGTTGGCTAGTGCAGGTACTCCGATAAACTATCGACGGTAAGTAGGATCGTCCGGGGATAAACTTAATTCCAACCTACATACCTGCCGCAACTCCGACATTTGGGAGTTTGTCATGGACCAGGGAGGTTTGACACATGGAAACAGAAACGAGGCGGGACGGTAACAGAACGGTAATGGTAACGGTAGCGGTAACAGCACCCGCGTGTTTGTTGGTGAGCCTGACGAGACACCACGCCGAGATGTGTTGTGTATCGGGCTGGAAGCCTGGAGCGACTTGGCCGTGCTTGGCCGAAGCTTGGCCGGACTTGGCCGCCGTTGCGCCGTCTTGTGCTTACGGCGTCGACCGGGCTTGGCCGGTGTCCTTCAATCTGGCGATCGGCGCATCTCCGTAGGAGGTTTCGGCAGCAGGAGGTCGTCTCGTTTCAACACCGTACCTCTGTCCGAATCGATTTGTTGTCACTCGGGGTTTCGTGGCCTCCTGATCGACAGGGACAACTGTTACCGGCACTCGGCAAGCGCTCAATCTATCAATATCAGGCCACTGTTACCACCAATGCAACAAGGCAATGACAGCGAAACCTTATATGTCCTGTCCTGTGCGTATCCGACTCATCTGATACGTTCACTTGTTCGCATCATGTGTGCTGCTGTGCCATTCAGATAGAGTGAAGGGAGGAATAGATGAGTCTGTGAAGAATTTCGACCCGACTTTAAACTGCGTTCAAATCGCTAACGGTAATGGTAGTTGTAGCGAACGTAGCCGGGTCGGGACCGATACACCACCTTCTTGGCCATCCAGAGATGAAGACGATGTATCCGTAATGTGCTTGGGTGCCAAGCTTACAAATGCAATCAAGGCACGAAGAAGAAACACTCTTGAAATGCAAATGAGAATCGTCTGACCATGGCAGCAGCCAAGCGATTCCAAGCAAGCCAAGTAAGCCAAGTAAATGGAGCAACCGAATGAACCTGAGAGAACCGATATAGGGAGTAATCACACTCACAATTTATCACCACACCATCACTGGTAGTGATAGGCCGAAAGAACGCCACCAACAGCCTCAAAGCCCATTCTCCTCTTTTGGTATGCTCATGGTGTCCTCATGGCAATCCCATGGCAACCTCATGGCAGCCTGCTGAGTTGCTTGCTTGCTGGATCTCGCGTGGATAAGGTTCATCTACTGACCTTCCCGCCCAGCCGCTCGCTTGAACTGGAACCATGCCATGCCGTGCCAGGCCATGACCCTTTCATGTACCAGGCCACGCGTCGTCGGCGTGCAGGGCTCCTTCCATTGGGGTAGCATTGGATGGGGTTGGCGAGCGAAAGGAAGCCACAAGACGCCTCGCTGCCGGTAGTGACTCCCGCTCGCTTGGTCGGGGTAAAACTGGAATGGCTGGCTGGCTGTAGAATGGGCTGCCTCTGCGTAAGTAGCATTCCATGGTAAAAAAAAAAAAAGGGGGGGGGGGCAGGAACCGTTTGATCCGTCATTTCCAGAGATGGGCGTATCGAGATTCCATACCATACGTAGGCGTAGGGTGAGGTATCTTTGAGTGTCATGTCGTGTCGTAAAATTCATGTAGCCAGCGATGTGGGAGGCTGCGAATGTGTTCATGCCAGAAAGAAGTCACAAGTTTTCACCCAGAAGAAGTGCAGTGAGGAAGCAGAGAGGTGAAGTGGAAGAACAAAGAATTCGATGGAAACACAAAGAAGTGTGAATGGCATTGTTCCTTCCGTTGAGTAAAGCAAACTTGGGCCAATCGCTCGGATATTTACGGGCGTCAGAAGCATCGAGGAAGGTGCAGAGGCCATCTTAATGCACCTGGAATTGAGTGATCTGCCTGGACCGTCAAGTGCCTTGTTCCTTCCACTTCAAGAAGCCAACGACGTCCATCAATCTCACCATGTTGTGAGAACTGGGAGAGTTGGGGAAGGTGCGAACAGGTTTCCTGCTTTCCGTTTCAATTGATTTCCAGTGCCGGCAACACTCGTGATTTCCCTGTCTTCTTGATCTGAAGGGAGGGTCAAGTTGTGAGCTGGGTGCAGCAATGACACGCCAAGTGCATCCCATGTGCTCTCAGCTCCCCTCGCCGGGCTGTTTCAAGATCATGATGCCTTCTTGGTGGCGTTGGTGAAAAGGGAATGCCCGGATGGGTGATGTTTCCCGATATAGATCTGGGCTGTTCGCACCAGATACATAGGACTCGACAGGCCGTTTAGAGGCCAGGGAGACAGATCGGCCAGGGTCGGGCAAGAAGAGATCATGCAAAACAGCGTCAAATGGAATTTCCCACGAGAATCGGTAATCAACACATTCCCATGTGCGAACTGAATGTTGCTGTCGCCGCCACTCGGCGTACAAACTTCAGCCATCAAAATCCATGTTGGGGATGAAACGAAGACATGGCGGCTTATTATATGTGGCAATTGCTCGCGGTATACAAGTGGTTTGGCAAGGGTCTTCCATGACAAGTTCACGTTGTCATCATGAAACGGTATTCAATGTTTCATCCCATGGTGTAGTGATGGCGCGGTAGCTCGACTTGCCGTCGCCGCCATCCAGATGGCACATCACAGGGTGTTGAGATCGAGCACCTGTTTGAGCGCCATGATAACTAGGACACTGGCTGAACTGTGTGTATTTTGCGGATGACCTGCTGATGCCCTTATTCACCGTGTGTTTGTTGTCCATTTCCCCATACTGACAAATTAGAGCGCGTTCTCATCACGCAGAGGTAGTGGCGCTACAAACCGAAAACGGTGGGCTTCATATCAGAAGGAGGAACTTTGTTATTCCGTGCCATTCACGCAAAGGTAGAGGAGTGGGTATTTGGGTCCTGCTTTGGAGCCGGTCAGATCGACTTTTGTCGCGGGTATCGAAATGACTGTATGGGTATAGAATGCGCCTAGCCGCGCTCAGATCTGGGGTTGGCCTCTCTGGAAAACATGATAAGGCCGTAAGTCGCGCCCAAGGTGTCACAAAGTTCTCAGGTGTGGTGCCAGATCAATCTGTCAACACCGACTTCTCTCTCACGCGAGTTATGGGGTGTCTTGACGCCGCCTCTGCCGCCCCCTCATGGATAAGAGAGACAATCGGTACGCGCCCTCCCTCGTGTGCATTTGCGATTCCATGGAGCGGTGTGGGCTGGATCTTGTCCGCAAACAATCGCCCCATAGCTTCGTGTCACCAAGACGTTATCCCCCGCATCCAAGCTAGGCAAGCCTTGACGAGCAGTGTGCCCTGGTGCAAGTCGCACAAGGGCGCCACCGAAGCAAACGTTGGGAACATTGCCCTCTTCCCAAAGGCGAAGATTCCCTAACAATCGCATCGGCCAAACCAGCGAGGGAAAGAAACCATGTCTCGAATCGTCTGGACGCCAGTCAAGTAGCAGAGGAGTCGATCAAAACCGATTCCAAAGCCGCCATGTGGAGCACAGCCCCATCGGCGAAGGTCGACATACCAGTCAAGGGGGCCGGCCTTTGCACCGGTGGGAGCATTGCCATCCATAGAGCTGGTGAACTCTCCAGCAACGATGTTGTGACGCTTCATGGCCTCCAACAACGGCTCCAGACGGTGTTCACGCATGGATCCGCCGGCAATCTCGCAGAGGTCGGGCACTAACAAGTCGAAGCACTGGACCGTAGGACCCGGGGAGGAAATATCTGGGAGTGACTGGCCTTCACGCATATAGAAGGCCTTGATGTCGCGAGGATAGTCGGTGACGAAGACGGGCTTTCCGTCTCCAACGTGCTCGGCAATGAACTTTTCGTGCTCCGAATGCAGGCCTTCAGTCCAGATGGGTTTATGTTCGAACTTGTCGGCATGCTCTTGTAGAAACTCGATAGCATCCGTGTATGTTATACGCGGCCAATCGTCCGCCATCATGCCCTCCCATCGAGCCTTCACCTCCTCAGGAGGAACGAGGTCAGAACCGACGCGACCCTCGCGGTTAAGAAACTCATAGACTGTATGTGATTCGTACATGGTAATGCACATGTTACGGATCATGTCCTCTGCAAGATCCATGACCTCGTCGAGGTCATTGACAAAGCTCATCTCGGCCTCGAGCATGTAGAACTCGCTTAGATGACGGGCAGTATCGCTCTTTTCAGCGCGGAAGACGGGAGAAAGGGTCCAGACATTACCGACAGACTGAGCCAAGGCCTCTAGATGAAGCTGAGTGGACACGGTGAGATACTTTTTGTTGCGGAAGAACATCTTGCTCTTGTTGTCCTCGTCGGCAAGCTCGGCGACGTTGGACGCCGGAGCCACAGTAAACACTTCTCCGGCACCTTCGCAATCTGACGAAGTGAGGATGGGCGGATGGGTTTGGGTAAAGTGGTTATCGGCAAAAAACCGAGTCAAGGCCGCGACGGCCTCCGAGCGCATTTTCAGCAAGGCAGCATTGATGGGGGTTCTCGGCCGCAAGTGGGGGATTGTGCGGAGGTACTCTGGTGTCTGATATTTCTTTTGGATGGGAAAAGTCTTGATGTGTAGTGGTGTGTCAGAGACAGACAGTCACTCCGGCATAGTAGGCAAACTGACTGACCTTTGCATCGGACGGGCCCAGGATGTCGACCTGGGTAACTTGCATTTCATGAGACTGGGACGCGCCAGGCGAGGCGACCCATTTGCCAGTGAGACGGACAGCAGCGCCGATGGCCAGGCTGCGGAAACGAGACCGAGTCAGTATTTGATGCTGCAGTTTTGGTATCCGAGACACGCATAATGAAGCTCGGGGATATTGCACGGGAGGTAGTGGAGGTAGTGATCGCACCCTTCGGCCTGGTTGGTGTCGACGGGGACGACGGCCTGCAGAGGAGCCAGCGAGGACCCGTCGCCGAGAGAAACGAAGCGGTAGGTTTTCATGCCCCGGACGGACCGGACATAGCCTTGGACGACCACATTGTCCTCCTCCGATTCTGGCTCCCACCGGAGGCACTCGGCAATCGACATGTGCAATGGGACGGTCCTCTTGAGTGGCTCCTCATATTGCTTTAGCCGTTCCTCAGCTTCTTTTGTCAATCGCTCGAGTTCTTTCAGATCGATATTTTCCAGTCGTCGTGGAGATGAGCTGGAGATGCTGCGGCGGGAGATGCGGCCCTGGTCGAGATCTTTGCAGAGTGGAGGTGGCGGTTGGTGGTGAGCGAGGACAATACTGCGCATTCCTCTCATCACCCGCAATGTCGATGAGCTTGGAGTGGTGAAAACTGAACTCCTCATCCTCATCCTCATCCTCATCACGGCGGCAGCGGACGACATGGCTCAAATCCGGGACCGAGTTGCGATTATTTCCTCCTCCTCTCCGAATCCTCAATCTGACTTTGACGTAAAGAGAGAGACGAGACTATAGACTGAAATATGTTTTTCGGGCTGCAGCATATGATCGATATCAAGCTGCCAGTCTCAGACTCTCGCTGCTGTTGCCGGCGACGAAACGGGCGCAATTTAGGCGGAGTCCAGCGGCAGTTCCAGGGAGTTGCTGTTAGCGTTGTGTTACGGCCGGAGAGGCGCTTTGGCGCTGGGGGAAGAAAAGCTTGGCAGGCACCCGACGATTGAGGTGACGCACTGACCACCTACACACGGCCACATTTGGAGTCTTGGACCGTTGAGAATGGCAATTGTTTGGATAAATGAATGGATGGATAGATAGATAGATGGATGATTGGGTCGTTTGGATCGTGAAATCGTGGATCGTACATCATCGAGTCGCGATCCCTTTCCCGTTGTTTCGCATGGTATCAGATGCAAGGGTTTAGGTTCATCTGAGGTTTGAAGCTCGAAATCGATCAAAGACATGGAGATTGGGAGCTAAGATTGGGATGAGATTGGCGACGGAGATAACATTAGTGGCCCGAGCGTCTTTGATTCTGATGTACTGTTCCGGGCAAATTTCACCGATGTTCGGCTTCGGTGAGCCGAGTGCAACTTGGAAAAGTGACGGGACTCGACTGCAAGGTGAGGACTGAGGACTGAGGAGTACTCATATGACCCGACCCTATTACTAAAGCTTCCTGACCCAAGTGGATACGCCAAGACCGACCCTACACTGTGAAAAATCTCTCATCCGACCCTTGCCCCCTTAATATTTTCTTTCCCTGTGGAGAAACAATTAATCGCTCGCTCAAAATTCCCTATAGAGAAATAATATTAATCGCGTTTTTAAATACTCTTCTTAAATACTAACGATCGTACATCCAAATATGATTGTAAACTGACTACGACCGATATTTTCTTATTATATATAAATAGCTCGTAAATTATTTCTAATATATCCTCAAATTATTGTCGTAAAATAGCTAATAATAATATTATTAACGCCGATACTTTAATTATTATTATTAGGTTCAGCTTAATTAAATAGAATAATATAATTTTTATTAAATTATTAATAATATTCAATTTAGGATAAATAAATAATATAGCGGCCAAATTTAATAAATTAAAGGAGTTGAAAGATACAACCCCTCCTAATATATTAATACTAACCGACCTCCTAATAAGTGTGGTTAATATATTATTAATATATTTTAAATATATTTCTTATTAATTGATAATATAATAATATTAATTATATAAAGGTTGAGATTATGGGCCTAATACTTATTTTATCCGATAGTATTGATTATTATTCTATTTTCGTTTAAACAATATACTATATTATAATTATTCTAAAATACCCTAAGTTTTCTATTCTTAGCGTAGCCTACGTCGTAGATACTAAGAGTTTAACTGAGGCTTAAGTTAAAGCCTCGTAGGACGAAATATATGAAGTAGAGTAGTTTAAAATAAATTCGTAAATATATATAGGATTAATCTTTAATCAATTTATAATATTATAAATTTAATATTATATAAAGAGGAAAATTCCTATGAAGAATACTTCGTTTAATTACTTAAATAAGACTATATAGTATTATATTACCTATAAATACTCTAATATTAAAAATTATAAATATTTAAACCCGCGATTAGTAGGTATATTAATAAGAGTTTACTACTATAATCGACGAAGAGATTATAAACTTTTTATTTAAAATCCGCCTCCGATAAAATAAGGTTCCTTTAATTAAACGAGCTATTAAATACGGATTTATCCCTAATTCATTCCTAAACTATCTTTTATAGCGTTTTAATTTAATTAAAAATAATAATTTTTATTAACATTATTTTAATAATTAATTAGGTATAGGCGATTAGAACGCGTTGGGAAATATAGGGTTATAAAGAATTGAGGTCGTTATATAAATTCGCTTGGTATATAAGTAGGGTAAATTTTTATTTAAAATATATTTTTAATAATTAGCGTTATATTTATGATTTATTTTTATATAGATAATTATTGGCTATAATTATTATTAGTTAAAATATTATAATTCGAAGCTAGGAGAGAGAATATACTTTTTTACTAACCTCTTTAATAATTTTAATTAATATTGGTTATATATTAAATTAATCATTAAAAGGCATTTAAGAGACTCTATACCCGATTTATTATATATTAAAACGTATATTAAAATGAGTATTATATAAATAAAAAGGACGCGCGATAATGAATAAATCTTTCCTTAATATATTTAGGATTTATTAAAAATTTATTATCGATAAATTAGAAACCGATTACATTTTAAGCTATAGTACTATTGAAATTCAAAATTATAATATTATTATTAACTTTTATATTCTAATCGATATTAAACTATCCTATATATCATTATAATTTCTTATAGTTAATATATTTACTTACCCCCCCTTCCTAATAAAACCCTTAAATAGATTATCGATAATTTGATGCTAGTATTAAAGAGGGTAGGAGATTTTAGTATAATTTGAAGTAAATAAATCCGGAATATATTATTAATAAATTAGGGATAGATTTGAAATTAATCTACGATTTAATAACTTTAACCTATAACTCCCAGTTTATTTAATTCTTTAACGAATATAATACTAATATTATTAATTAAATTTATACGAATTTTAATAATATTAATAAACTTCGATTAGTAATTAAAAAGTATCGCGTTCTTATTTGGCTTTTAGGAGTTTCGAGCCTTAAAACTATAATATAGGAGTATTAATTAAAATGCTAAAATTTAAATATTCGTATAAATTTATATATTCGAGATTTATTAGGGATGAATT